GTGGTAGGTGGAAAGAGAAAGAGAGATGGTGTTACATTTGAAAGTGAGTGGGAAAAGGTCAGAAAGGACACAGAGAGTGATGGCACCAAAGGGAGCTGTGTGTTAGATGGCAACCAGGTGTGTTAGACAGACGGAAGCCTTAAACCTGGCAGGTGGTGTTTGGTCTAATGGTGCCATCACTGGCATCTGGATTCACTGTGTGTGTGAGTGTGTGTGTTCACTTGTACTGTTGCCACATATATCTTCATGCAAAATCATAGTTTTTACTTTGTACTTTATACTTTTGAGAGTAAAATTATGAACCTCATGACCCTGCATAATTCAGCATACAACTCCAGGCTTGTGTCTGTGCCTTGATTGGAAAAGAGGGTGAAGCTTTTTTTATCTGGCCAAATGATGGAAACCCCATCAATTCCTCTGTTAGCTTTTCTAAGTCTTGTGATGCTAAGGAACTATTTGAAATACATTTAAACATTTTATTTTGATAAGTGATTCATCGTTTGAGTCATTTTCATGCAAATATTCTCTGCTTTCAGCTTCTCAAATGTGAGGATTTGCTACTTCTTTGTCTTACATGACAGTAAACTGAATATCTTTAGGTTTTTGACTGTTGACCTAACAAAACAAGACTCGGGGTCTTTGAGACATTTTAAAGATCAAATGATTCATTAGGCCTATTTCAGTCTTTTTTTTTTTTTGACTAGAAGGATGAATATGAGTATGGGTCAAGGAAACAGATTTTAGTCTGATCTTAACCCAGGTTTTAAAGCATCAACACACAGACTACACACACATTCATACACTGGCACACAGCATTTATGAGCAGCCAAAATGCTTATTGGCCAGTGTGTTCCAGCCCATTTCAGTTCAAGGCAGATCAGTGGTCATAGAGCTTAATCTGATTTGAAGAGTACTGGCTGGCTGGCTGGCTTATGGGTACACTCATTTCTAGATGACCAAGCAGGACTCGCTTATTTATTCATTTAAGTAGAGCTCTGAACATCTCCCAGCTGGCCTTTTAAGTAACGCCATCTCTCCTCCCATGGAGAAAGACCAAGCCGGCGCAATACGCAAGAATGACATCAAGCACGCTCAAATTTATGCTATCAGATTATGGAAACAGACAATAAACTTGGATCCAAAGACAAGTATGTATCGGCATCAGCTGATAGCAAGCAGCGCCTTGCTGTATTTCTTTTCAGTGAGTAGTGCAACGGCTCACTGTGAGATTTGATACTGAGAACGCTGTACTGTATGTAATCTCTATAAGAGCAGCTTTGATATATTTGCAAGAGAAAAGCATTTCTAGGTTAAAACTGAAATACATTTTAGTATATGACTACATTTCGATGTGTAGTAGACCTAATAGTCTACATATAGGGTGGACAAAATATTAGAGACACCTCTCAGTATAGTGCAATACAGCCCCACAAACTACAGCCACCAACCAAGACCTTCATACAACAGTTAAAAGCATTAGGCATTAGTTTTGGCTATGTCTACCTAATAAACTGACAACTGATTGTTTACAACCAAATTTAGCCCAGTTTCCTTCTATTTTCACCTCCAAATCACCAAACCCACGCTTACTAGGAATGAACACTGGTGACACATTCTACATCTGTGTTGCAATATTCCTACAATTAAGCAACAGATTTGATTCAATCCAACCTCTTGTCGCCCACCTTTTAATTTCCTGCTCTCAGGGTCACCTCTGATGATGTCATGAGAGACAAGGACATCTGCTCCCATTGTGGTCCTTGATTGGCTCATTTTATCTGCATGCAAATCACGTCGGTGGGGACCCGGAGTACACTGGCCTAATTATGCCAAACACATTACTCACTTGGAGCTATGGTGCCTTGGAAGGATGAAATTAAAGAGAGAGAAAGCGAGATACAGAGGAAAAGAAAGATAAATGCAGTGATAGAAAGGAGTGGCAGTGGAAGCAGTGGAAAGTAAGATGAGATAGAGGGAAAAAGAGAACAAAATCATACTGGGGATAAGGAACGGTATTGAGTTTAGGAAGAAAAAAGCATGGGAAAAAGCTGAAAGAGAGAACCAGGATAGAAAAAG